AATTAGATTATTAGTATTAAAAGTCAGAATAAATACTACGCTGATAACTGATACACTGTGTACTCCCGCTCTACAACACACTAAACCAGTGTTTACTAGTCTGGCCTTGTGTTGCGCAGATTTCACATCTAATGACGTGAGAGAATTTACCCTCAAGACTGTGAGCTTCAAGAGTGTTTGGAGGGTTTGTTTCTGTTTTTCTTTTTTTTTCTATCTCTCTTCTGTTTCTTTGAGACTTTGCCTGGCCGTCCTGGCTTTGATAGAACTTCTTTAAAGTGCCTCTTCCGCTCTCTAGGCTGACCCACATAAATTTCTAGATCTTTCTCTCCACAAACCGTACAATCCTGATCTGATTTATGAAAGCATGTATCATATAAATACTAGTCACTCAGGGGCTGACTGAAGTTTACTGGAGTGCAGTTCAGCTGAGTGTGTGTTTATGTGTGTGTGTGTGTGTGTTGGGGAGAAAGGCAGTGTGCAAGACAGAAAAGAAAGCTGTAATCTTCTCATATGTCCCTGCTCCAGCCTCCAGCCAGGAGAGTTGAAGTTAAAGTTCATGAAGGAATCAAATTTACACAATGTCAGTGTCGGACAACAAGCTAACAAGTAATGGAGGCTAAAATACGTCAGTTATGCCTTGCTGACTGTGAGATGCTCTGCTATCTGCTTTATAGCTACACAAAGTGAAAAGCAAGTACAATGTGAAATTTGCAACAAAAAAATGGCTCACAATCAAACAGCACGTGGCCAGTGCCAAAACAATGACACATCTGAAGGGGTTGGCCTTCGATATGTCTTGGTTTTTGGAATCAATATACCGTCTAGAACAGGGGTGTCAAACTCAACCACTAAAGGGCCATATTAAAAAAATCTCAACAAATCCGAGGGTCAGAGAGCGTTTACATTATAATACGCCAAAACAGCAACAGCAAAATGTAGCCACTTGTAATAAACCTTCAAATATTACATGTGAATTCTTGATATATTTAGGCTACATTAGATACAGATAACTGTTTAAATGTCCCCAGAATGTAGGTCTTTTAAACCCACCTGTGTGCTTTATCTACACACCTGACATCTTCTGTGCTGCAAGTTCATTAATTCTTAATCAGTTTCTGAGCTGCTGAGTGTTTATAGTGTTTATAGTATTCATGTTGGTTGAACTGCAGCTGAAACGCAGCTGGTGTGTTTGGTGATATGGGCTAATATTATTAGAAAATCAAAATAATTTTGAGGGCGGGACTGGATTGTGTCACAGGCCTGATCTGGTCCGCAGGCCTTGTGTTTGACACATGGGGTCTAGAATGACTCCATCAATTCCTGTAACTTGGAATCAGAACTGGAGTCGACTTCAAACGTTCTGGAGCCCCACTGATTTAGCTTTAGCTTGCATCCACATATAGAAAAAGCAGGCTCTTCACAAACATGTTTTGCCTTACCGACTACATTTGGGGTAAAGGAGAAAACCATGTAAATGTGATTTCGTTTTGCCACACTGTAGCTTTAAGCAGAGAAAGAAAAGGTTGATTAAGTCCAATGTGATTTATGACTGACTGACTGAAGGCAGAGGGTGTGAAAGCGGCGCAGGAGTAATATATATGGTGACATTAGCACAAGAATAGCTGCAATCTAAAGAAAACAGCTTTTCTCATGGTGCGTAAAGGGTCAATATGAGCTCTCACACACACACAAAAAGCAGGGTGGAAATGGTGCTGAATGATGGGTAACAGCAGCTTGGAGTGTATGTCAGTGGGACCTGTTTGAGCTAAGCTGTCCCCTGAGCTCAGACACAAGAGCAGGTCAGTGTGAGAGTGTGGATCGCAGTCTCTCGAGAGCCACTCAGGAAGCTCTCAGACTGAAGGAGCTCTGATTACACAGTGTGTGTGGTGTTTCGATGTTCTCCTGTGTTGCCGTGTTCGAAACAGTCTGCCACATATGAATTTCTCCAGCAGACCAAGGATGCCCAGATAATGTGCTGCTCTGGCCAATATGCAGCTAGAGCTATCTTCATGATATAATGCATCCCTATGTGGAAAAGCTGCTAGCAACGGTTGCTAAGCAGTGATTGGAGGGCTTGGTTTGATTGGCTCAGCCCCTGATGTGAAAGCCCCCAGTTATTGTGAAAAAAGCATGCTGTTATCATAAGTAACAGCATAGGTAGAACACACTGCAACCAATCAGACTGTGTTAATTGTTGCATAACAACATATAATGGTAATTGTGGCATACTGGATACTGTACTGCATACTTATACGAAGAGCATACAGCATGCAGTATATACTGGTACAGTATACAATATATACTGGTACAGTATGTAGTACACAGTATATATTGGTCCAGTATATACTGGTGCAGCATGCAGTACACAGTATATAGTAGTACAGTATGCGGTACATAGTATATACTGGTGCAGTATACATTATATGCTAGTACAGTGTGAAGTATACAGTATATACTGGTATGTTATGCCGTACTCAGTATATACTAGTGCAGTACACAGTATATACTGTATACTAGTGTACACAGTATATAGTAGCATAAAATGCAGTATACAGTACATACTGGTACAGTATACAGTATACTGGTACATTATGCAGGATACAGTATATAGTAGAGTATGCTGTACACAGTATATAGTTGTACAGTATGCAGTACACAGTGTAGTATACATTATATACTAATACAGTGTGCAGTGTACATTATATACAGGTACAGTATGCAGTATACAGTATATACTAGTACAGAGTGCAGTATGCAGTACATACTTCTGTAGTATACTGTACACAGTATATAGAAGTACAGTATGCGATACACAGAATATACTGGTGCAGTATACATTATATACTTATACAGTGTGCAGTATACAGTATATACTGGTACATTATGCCGTAGTCAGTATATACTAGTGCAGTATACAGTATAGCAGTATATACTGTATACTAGTGTACACAGTACATAGTAGTATAGAATGCAATATACAGTACATACTGGTGCAGTATACATTATATGCTGGCACAGTATACAGTGTACAGTAAACATTATATACTGTACAGTATGCAGTATATAGTACATACTGGTACAGTATACAGCATACCAGTACATTATGCAGGATACAGTATATAGTGCAGTATGCTGTACACAGTATATAGTAGTATAGTATGCAGTACACAGTACATACTGGTGCAGTATACATTATATACTAATAAAGTGTGCAGTGTACATTATATACAGGTACAGTATGCAGTATACAGTATATACTGGTACAGAGTGCCGTATACAGTACACAGTACATACTTCTGTAGTGTACTGTACACAGTACCTAGTAGTACAGTAGGCAGTAAACAGCATATACTGGTACATTATCTACTGGTACACAATATAGTATACACTGGTACAGTGTGCAGTACACAGTACATACTGGTGCAGTATACAGTATATATTGGTATTTTGAGTGTATGTAAATGCTATTGTGCTCCTAATGCTGCTAACTAATCTGATGTTAAACACACACACACACACACACACACACACATACACACACACACACATACACACACCTAACTCAATCCTTCTGATAAAAGCTGCAGTTTTTGAGGGAAAAACATTTTTCCACACATAATTCCCACATTAATAAACATATGACATCAACACAATTGTTGCCGAACAAAGTAAAATAAAAAACTGTGTTGATGTAATCTGTTGATTTATGTGGAAATTATTCACACATTTGCATTAAGTCCTTACTTCTTTGAAAAACATCCACCACCCACCCCCCACAAAACACTGCAGTCCTGGACAAACACATACAGCAACAAATCCACTCTACAGTGACTCATAATTCCACACAGATGAAACAGCATATGCGCTCTATGAATATACTCTCAGCAGTTCAACAGCAAACGACACAAACCCAGACACGTCTCTCATTAAAACACTGTTATTTTCCTCTCTCCTTCTACGGCACACTCACTCCCACTCTCAGACACGGAGCAGATACGACTTAATTATCAAAATTACCAAATCCACTGACTCACAGGAGCCAGTAAATTCTATAGTGGACCATCAGAGTTTGTGAAATGTGCTACATGAATAAACATATAAAAACAACACTGCAAAACAACACTAAAATGGTGTAAAGCCACACCACACACACACTAATGAACCACACCTCTTACATTACATTTGCAACACAGTAATTATCTACTTTCAGAAACCCTGAGATGCCCCCTGCATCCTACAACAAATCACAATCTCACAAAGACAGCTACAGCAATCCTATCTATCTATCGCTGGGCAATATATATGGTGTACAGGCAGGTTGCTGGTGTCACACCATTGTTTTCATTTCATTTTAGCATTATTGTTAGATAATAAGCTTTACATCTATGATGACATTCTAGCCAACGAAATAGCAGCATCACTAAGACCAAGTAGTCTTTTTATGTATTTTAATTATATTTTGTATGATTTGATGTCAGTTAACTGCAATGTGTAACTTATTGGGTGCTTCAGATTGTTTTGAAATAACAGTTTAAAATTCATAAAAGCTGAATAAATAGTTCCCTTTCCGAAACTGTGCTTTTTGATTAATACTGATACATAACACATAATTAGTTGAAACCTTTGCTGAGCTCTTAGTCATATTAAGATCCTTTTATGCATGTATCTGCAGTTATATTGGGTTTATTTTATTGAAAACCGATTCCAAACTTTTGAATGGTAGTTGCAAGTTGCAAGCAAACGTGTAATTCTGCAAGAGTCTCTTGGAAAATGGTAAATTTATAGCTTTCTCTGATACACACACTTAAAATATAAAGGTTCCTTAAAGGTTCTTGGCTTAGATGACAAGTTCTTAACCTTTAATTGACATAGAACTATGTGAAGGTTTCTTTCCCCACCTCCTTTACAAAAGGAGGCTCTTCTAAGAATCACCCATTGAACCATCCACAGGTTTATCTATCTTTCTGTCTGTCTATCATATGTATTCACTCCCTTGTTACCTCCAGCAGTGGTAGGTCAGGGTCCAGCTGGGTGAAGCTGCTCAGCACCACCGGTCCAGTCTGCTCGCCCACCTCCAGCTTCACCCCGTCCCAAATACTGCGGATCCGCCAGGCGCCACCGTCAAACATCACACACGCTCCCCTCACATGCACCATCAGGGGGGTATGAGTGAGGGTGGGGGGTAAAATCCAAATTCAGAACCAAAATAAAAAAAAAAAACAATAATCCAGAGCAAACTAAATGTAGGGTCCCATGCTTGGAATAAAATCCAGCTTTGTTTTGCTCCTGCTGCGCAAACCCCTGAAAACCATGAACTCACTCCCTTCACTCACACACACACTGACACACACTGAGGGGACAGAGAATAGACTGAGCTCCGGGTCCCTCAGGCTCCGCCCCACCAGCCCGCCCCCCCGCTTCTCTCCCTATCTCTCTCGCGCATGCACTCCACAAACCCCACCCCCACCCTCTTCTCTAAGCATGAGGTCATTTTTTAGCAGCTCTGTGCTGAAATGGAAAGGGTCATTTAAAAGCTGTGGAGAATCGAGCAGAAGCTGTAAAAGCACCGAGCAGTTCTCACACAGACATGATTCACGCCCGGCTACATTCACACGCAGGAACAAGCTGAGTTTACGGACTTTCGGGACCACTGAGATAGCAAAAAACTGGATGAACACACCAGCTGGTCCTGTAGTGTTCATTAATCTTCATTCACTGGCCACTTTATTAGAAACACTTCCGTTGTACTTCAACTCAGTGGCCACTTTACTGGAAACAGCTACCTTGTGCTTCCACTCACTGGACACTTTATTAGAAACACCTACCTTGTGCTTTCACTCACTGGCCACTTTATAAGAAACACCTACCTTGTACTTCAACTCACTGGCCACTTTATTAGAAACACCTACCTTGTACTTCCGCTCACTGGCCACTTTATTAGAAACACTTACCTTGTACTTCCACTCACTGGCCACTTTATTGGAAACACTAACCTTGTACTTCCAACACTTAACTGGAAACACCTACATCATACTGGCCATTTTATTAGAAACACATCCCTGGTACTTTAACTCACCAACCACTTTTCTGGAAACCCCTGCACTCAAAAAATGAACCAAGGTAGTTACTTGACTTACTTGTTATAAATAAATTAAGTACATAAAACTATTTACTTTTTTCGAGAGTGCCTTGTGCTTCCACTCACGGGCCGCTTCCTGAGGTCCACCTACTTTAAAAGTCCAGTGTATAGTTGTATAGTCACAGTGCTAAAATGCTATTCATCGTTGAGTTTTTATCCTTGTAGATTTGCATATGAAAGAGCTGTCGACATGTAACTACGTGTTTACTGATTTAACCCTTTCAGCAGAACCATCACAATAGAATGGAACCTCATTGTTTGTGTTTGTAACAATGGCCTCTTTTCTTCCTAACAATGGATAATCAGATTCCAGAACTGCATGGAGAACCATGCCCAGCGTACTACACTGGCCACTTTATTAGAAACCCCTACCTTGTACATTCACTCACTGCCCACCTTATGAGGTCTATTTTTCCTATAGGGCCACTATGAATGCATACAGCTACAGTAGGTCATCTGTTGCTTCACAGTTCAACAGCTCCCTCTACTTACTCAATCCTTGACCATTTTCTGACCACAGGCCCACGGTTGACCAGAAATGGTGCGGATGTGTTGCTTGTATGAGTGTAGATACAGCTGTGTTATTGAGGTTTTTACACACATTGAGATTAAAAATCTCACAATATAGCATAAGATACCATGTTGCACTGGTGCATCTGTCCACTTAGTGCAGGACAGTGCATAAAGAAAAGCTTATTAAATAAACAAAAGGCTTTGTTTTGAAAGTGCTGTGCTCATGTTAAAGCAAAAGTCATCTCTCTCTCTCCCCCGCACGCCTCCTCTGGACGTTTCTGGCTGCTCTACTTTGCACATCTGGTGTGTGTTATGCGTAGGCCGAGGAGGCCGAGTGACTGCCAGTAAGAACCGGCGCTGAAAACACACTCAGGGAGTGGAGGAATGTGACAGGGGGGAGGGGAGACGAGTGCAGCCAGGGGGAAGAGCACTGTGTATGTGTGTGTGAAGAGCCCTCCCTAATTGCAAAAGCAATTCTGGAATGGATCTGCTGAGTACAGTTATGTCTGGTTAGAGAACGCACTCTCTTTTCTATGAAATGTTCCACATCAGCGTATATTATTTGTGTTCTTTTGGAGGGATGCATTCGGTGGGTGTGGCCATAGAAAGTGCAATACAAGCATATTATGCACAACAACTGGCTCAAAAGTTGCACAGGCTGGAGAAAGAAAATACATCCAGGAGTCCAAACCTTATACAAGTTTTCATGTGAGAGTGCAAGGCCAGGGCTAAACAGCTGGAAGTTGCAATTTGGAAGAAATAATAGAAGAAAGAAAAGCGTTTAACATACAGCACTGTGCAAAAGTCAGAGACCACCCTTCGTTTATTTAATTTACAGCCAAAACAGCCACTAAGTATGAGCTATTCATTTTGCAGCACCAGGAAAAAAGCAGAAAGTGTGTATTTAAAAGCAGAGTAAACAAAAAGATCAACAACTAAATATATTTTTTCAGTATTTAGTGTGTGCACCTTTACCTTCATTAAAAGACTCACTTTCACTTTTTCAAAGAAATCTACAGGGATATTTTTCCACACCTCCAAAGTTCAGTCTTAGGAGTTGGTTTTGCATTGTCTGCTTCTCACCATCCACTAATCCCAGACACATTCAGTGGTGTTGAGGTCTGGACTCTGGGGTGGTCAGTCCATTGTTCAGCTTCTTTGTTTGATGCGTCCGTCTCCTTTTCTCAGTGAGGTTCTTCTTGAGAGCTGCACATCCTTTCAGACCCACAGCGCTGAGTCGTCTTCTCACAGTGGAAGGATGGACAGAAACACCTGTGGATGTTTTCAGATCGAAGCAGCTTGATTTTCTTCTCTCTCTCAAAGATGAAAGCTTTAAGTGCTGTTTATCTGAAGGGGGCAGTTTTGGTCTCTACCAGGTCTTCCAGGTGGTTGTGAGGAGCCCCATTTTCCAGTTTTGGAAACTCCTGGTTTATTATTTTCACTTCTCTTCCTTTGACTTTCTCCTTCCTTACACAAGTAATATCTAATCTCCTCAGAAATATCTCTTAAAATATAACAACTGGAAGACGTTAATGTCTGTTTTTTTTCCAGAAATGAAATAAAGTGCGCTCTCTGAACTGGACTTTTGCACAGTTTCCTCACTTTCCTAAATGCAGAATAACACAAATCGTCAGAGGAATGATTAGGTGATGAAAATGTGAAGCATCACCCAGATACACTCATAATACTTGATTTGCTGACTCATTCATGCACCAGAATGACTCAGCAGAGCACTCAGCAGGGTCAGACTCCAAGACTCCAACTTAAGAGAGCTACAGCGCAGCAGAGTTTAGTGTTGTCTCTCATTTAACTCATCTCAGTACTTAACCCTACACTGTTAGACATAAAGGTTCTGTGCAGGTATATTTTTCATTCATCAAGGTACAAATAATGTAAATCTTCCCTCAAAGGTTCGACAGTGGTTCAATTGTGAACCTTAAATAAGTTATTCTAGGTGAAAAGTACATATTTGTACCTTTTCATAACCGAATGTTTTAAAACAGAACAATAAAATAAGAAGTCAGGCAATGAGACTGGGTAACTGAAAGGTACTGAGTTGTATCCTTGAGGTGACCACCCCAGTGAAAGGAGGGGTACTGCACCAGTGACAGTTTAGTACCTTCTTTTCTGAGATTGTATTACATACATGCATCATTTTAACCGCCTATCCTTCTGGGTCGCGGTGGGGTGCTGGAGCCTATTCCAGCTGTCATTGGGCGGAAGGCAGGATACACCCTGGACAGGTCGCCAGTCCATCGCAGGGCAGACAGACAGACATACACAATCACACACACACATTCACACTCACACCTAGGGGCAATTTTAGCATGTCCAATTGGCCTGACTGCATGTCTTTGGACTGTGGGAGGAAACCGGAGTACCTGGAGGAAACCCACACAGACACGGGGAGAACAGGCAAACTCCACACAGAAATGACCCTGGTCACCCGGCCGGGAATCGAACCCAGGCCCTTCTTGCTGTGAGGCAACAACTGAGATTGTATTATAAAATCTATTTATTTATATTAGCATTTTATTCATTAGCATTTTGTGGTCTTCTTTCCTATATGCAGGGTAAATTGGGGAAAGAAGCCCAGCAGGGTACACTCTCAAAAAAAGGTATGGAACTGTCACTGGGGCAGGACCCCTCTTGTCACTGGGGTGGTCCCCTCTAGGGTACATCTCAGTACCTTTAGTCAGGGAACATAACTGTACCATAATCCATTGAAATGATATTTTCTAAGTTGTATTGACTCCACACACCCCATCTCGTCTCCAGGCTTTTATTTTATTGTTCTGTTTTAAAACTTTAGGAATGAAAAGGTACAAATATGAACTTTTCACCTGGAAAACTTATTTAAGGTTCACAATCAGACCTTAAAACCACTGTTGTACCTTTGAGAGAACATTTACAGTGAGTGCGTTTACATGCACTTAATAATCCGATAACTGCAGAAAATCAGATGTTGTTAGTAATCTGATCAATGTGTTTACATGCACTTGAGTAATCAGATAATGGGAAACTCCAGGTCCACATGAGTCAGGCAGTAATTGGATTTCTGCTTTGCAACCAGCCAATAAACTCAGAGAAGAATACGTGACGTAAACATAGCATAAAACTGAAACTTCGTGAAACTTTGCGTTTTTTTTTAAACGTTGTGCCACTTTTCCTGAAAATATGACCATACATCATCTAGGGGATGAAGAACATTTAAATCCTTCATTTTGTCAAGCATGTATTTGGTTTCAGCGTCTCGGGGCAACACTGCTCGCTTATTACCACGGTCTGTCCTGCACATGCTCAGACTGAGAAATCCGAAAGAAATCAGAGTAAGGGTACACATGAAATCTGATTACTGAGCTAAAATCCAGCCCTCTTTATCAGATTCTTAATCGGATTTCTAGACCTTACTCCGATCTAAGAAATCAGAGTGTGCTGTTTACATGACCATTTGAATAATCAGATAACTGCAGAAATCTGATTATGAACAGATTACGCAGTGCATGTAAGCATATTCACTGTTTGTTCCTTGATGAACAAAAAATGTACCAGCACAGAACGTTTATTTCTAACGGTATAAGCTGGTTCCGCCTCCTCACTGTCTTCCTTGATCAAATGATAGAGTCAAATCCGATCCTGACACATTAACTGAATGGCTGTGGTCTAAACTCTGAAATTTCATCCGGATCACTGCATTCCTGGGATTTCTTCTCTGAAATTCTTTTGTTCATATTTT